ATTTCTCTCGAGCTTTGTTAATTATTGTAAAATATTATTATCGTTACCGTATATATAAATTCGCCGAGCGAGCTAAAAATTAATGAAAGCCAGAGAGTATGTGTGTGTGGGTGCGTGTTTGCACGAAGCTCGGTATACACGGCAGACGCTCCTGTGTATGTACGTACGTACATACGTATCTTATTACCCTTCGGAGCTTTCTCTCTCTCTGCACGTTGGCGCGCGTCATGCCAAGCAACACGAAACCCTCGACGCTCGCGCATACCTACGCCCACACCTACATAGCACCTTGTATATTACCCTACATGTATGTATGCAGTACACGGAGTGGCAGGTTCTATGCATAGTGCATATACCGCCGTTGCCGCCGTCGAGTAGCATAACGAGAAGTCATCGTACACGCGAGATATATAGGCCCACTCCTCGCAGCAGCTAATATATCTATGTATTATACCGAGCTGCCACCGCTTCATATATACTATAAATAATTACCCCGTGCGCTTTATCGCCTTCTCGGCTGGAGAGCATTATATATACACACGCAGAAGCAGTACAGAGGCGGCAGTGAGTGCAGGCGAATGGGTGGCGGCAAAAGCTCAACGCGAGAGCCGATGCAACAGTCCCTCGCTATCTTATCCGTCTCATTAATCCAATTCGACGCGCGGTGCGCAGCTTATTATACCTATACTCGACGCCGCGTGTGTAATTTCGATGCATGATCGAACATGCAAATTTTTTCTTTTTTAATCGAAATCGCATTATTTCTCTCCTCTTACTCCGGATACTATACGCGAGAAAAAGGGAAATTTGCCGCCGAGTCGAGGTGGTGGGATGGAAAAAAAGCACGGGGATAGATAGTAGATACAGATATATATGTTTATACGGTAACGAAGCGCGCGTAATGTAAATTACGCGCTTGACCTGGTAATGTATTAAAGCCGGCGCTCGAGTTTTCTCTCTCGCTCGCGCGTGTGATGTACGACGAGCCGGGAGTAGTTCTTCCATCCAACGCAGTTCGGCTCTCGCGTAATCGCATTTTTTCCTCGCTCCATCTTTCTTTTTCTCTCCTTTTCGAATATCTTTGCCTCGGATCTTCTTTTTCCGTGTCCCTCTCCGTATCTCTCTCTCTCGAAACGCGAGCAAATTTCAAAAATATAGCTGGAAGCTAGGTTCGAAAAAAAAGTTTTTTCTTTTCGTACATCCACTACCCTTCCTTCCTGCGGATCTGCTCTGCTGAGATTGCCGCTGCTGCTTGTGTATGCGCGCGAAATTCCATATAAAGTCCTATGTACGAGCGAGGAAGAGCACGAATTGCTTTCTCGAAACTTTTCCTCTCTCACTTCACTCGCGAAGTTGATCAAAAACTATCGTAATATCTCTCTCTCTCTCGGACTCTCGCGCGAATAATGCCCCGAGCTTCTGCTGCTGCTACACTCGGGTTAACGAAAAGCCCAGATATATCCGAGAGTGAGCTTGCATATGTACCACATATACATACACACTCGCTTTAGCCGAGCGCAGTTGTAAACGTTAATCTTTATAGTCCTTTGATCTTGTGCGTTTGTACGTACTGTATATATGCAGTGCACTTGAGCTTCGCTAGCCAAAGGCAGAAAGAGAGAGAGAGAGAGAGAGAGATGGAGATATCGCGTCGACTGCGCAGCATACGCGGTTATATAGGCACTCACTTATTATTATATATCGAGTGTATTTTCACAAAAGACGTGTCGCTATATTACCGTATCTATTATCGTAGCTATAATACGCGCACGATATCGTGTCCACCTTCGTATAATATAAATATAAAACGCCAATTGAAACTATCCGCGGGGGAGCTTTATTCTCTCTCTCCTTTCCACTATATATATAGGACTCTCTGTTTATCCGTGAAATTTACCTCTGCGATTATATATGCATGCGTAAATGAGAAAATACGCCAGGTCGCGTTTCGCCTCGTCGTCGTGTGTGTGTGTGTGTATCGAATAACTTTCGGCTGCGATATATATCTTCTATATAATACTCGTCTATCGTATATATGGACTAGTGACAAACTGCAGCAGGGAAGCGGCAAATTTGCATGGCATAGGATTACAATAAATTAAGTTTCGCGCTCGCTCGCGCACAACGACGACGACGATTATGCCAAAAGCGTGCGAGATATATTATATAGGCGCGAGAGGCATCGGCGCGCGATATATATACGCTCGATCGATCGAGAGGAAAATTTGAAAATTCATAAAAATTGTGTGCGAGCGATAATATACTACGTGCGTAGGTAATGAAACTCGAAACGCAGAAGTGACGCGATTTCCTTTTTTTCCTTTCCTTTCCTTTCTTTTTTTTTTTCTAGCGCAGGTAGATCGAGTCTCGCGATATATACACGGCGTGGTATGCATGACGTGTACAGGTGGTGCTGCAGCAGCAGCACAGTCATGACCTTTGGGGCTTTGCTCGCGCCCGAGAGCGACTAGTAGCTGGTATGTATATATAATAAAAACGTACGCACGCACGCAAATTGCACGAAAAAGTGTAAATTTCACAGTTGAAAAAATTCATATATATTTGTACATTATACACGTATATAAAAGCCGCGCGCGATTTCGTGGACAAGGTAATATAATTCATATACACACATACGTACGTATAACGTATACACGCGTCGCGTCCGGCACCACGGAGAGATCGATCAAAGTGCATTAAAATATACATCATATTATTGCACGTACTACGATATCGCTGCGTTCTGCGGATTTTTCTTCCCCCGACCTTTTTTTTGGCCTGTGTTACCCTTGCCTTCGGGAAAATCGTGCAATTAAAGTCGAATATAATATATCCGACGTCATAATATCGTGTAATGCGTGTAACACATCGTGTGATTTATGCTCGGCACTTTTTGCTTTATTTTTCTATATATACTTTTACATACTCGATCGCTTCGCATTGTCTAAATCATGTATATATAACCGTGCGTCACTCGGGGGGGTGCGCGCAAAACCTCGTGGGAATTGCGCGCACCGAGGTGATAGACGGATAAAAGAGAGAGAGGAAGAAGCTACACTACTGCACTCCAAGAGCTGCGAGTAAGAATAAGATAGGAAAATTTCGATACCGTATACGTACGCGTCTTTACGAGTTAGCAGCGGCAGCAGCTGTGTGCCTCGTTCTTCTTCCAGTATACTTCCTTTCCCCTCTTTTTTTATGCTCTTTTTTTCTCTCGAAACAGCCCGTCTAGTATTGTAATGAAAAAGTATCGCGCTTTTATTTACCTCGTTTTCTATTTTCTTCTTCTTTATCTCTCTCTCTCTCTCTCTCTCTTCGTCGGCCTCGATTATGATCAATTTGTAGTAAAAGCTCGAAGCTTGCGGGTTCGATATGGTATAGTAGCTGTATAAAAGCACAACTAGGCGAGGCATCGATATCGCGGCAACGATAGAACTACTAAAGGCACGCGCACGCACACCAATATACACACTTAACACAGAGAAAAGGGCGGACCGATCCATTTTCTTATCGTTTCTCGAATCTACACACGATTACTCGCGCTCGTTTGCCTCTCGATAAATACGTGTATTACTCGCGCGCGCCCACGATAATGATACAAACTCGAGCACACGGCGCGAGGCAGATAGAGAGAGAAAGAGGAAATGATCCTTTATCCGGTGCAATATTGCGCGAACGCGTCGATTAATCTACGTTTACATACATAATACGGAATCTCGCATTATAAATATGTTAATATATATCTGGCGCGCGACGCGTATAATAATGCGTGTGCACTCGACGTCGCGCGCTCCAAGTCGAGCTTGCGGGATAGCGATTTTTTTCTCTTTCTTTCTCTTATACGTACTAAGGCTCGTTTATCATTCTCAAGGAGATTAGGCCACGATGTAATAAGATAACCGTGTCGCCGCGTGCGAATGGTTCATAATATATATAATGTAGAGCAGCTGCCCCTTTTTCTCGAAATATGTAAGTGTGTTATGCTTTTACATTAGCGGGTTCGGGATATTATGCAGCGGCGCTACTACATACGAGCTACTATCCAAATATTATCTCGCTTAACGAGTCGCTAAGGCAGCAACATATGCCGAGGGCTTGCCTGTCCTATAACTATTATTTTAAGCCCCGCGAGCTAGGTCTACATCTTGATGGAAAAAACAGGATTTCACGGCACTATAAATGCAACTTGTGTATACAACGTATAGACCCACGAAGATATGCACCTTGGCGCGCCGACTGGCATGTGGAGAAATTAAAAGTAGTAGTTTGGAGAGCGCGAAGAGCGGCAAGTGTGCCACGGATATACCATGTACAGCTACCACCAGTATGTATACACATTTATTCAAAAAGTTTCGGGAAAATCGATTTCACGCTCTGGCGAGCGCGAGGCAAAACTAACGCAGAAGGTTTTCGTACGGTGTAATCGTCTTGGCAGCAGATTTTTCCCCTTTTATACCTACTTCAATTTTATACGTAACGACGCGGTGGTACGCGTTTTATACTGACGACGTGCCACCTGCGTATATATGGTAAAAAAGCTTTCAAACACCTGCGGATCGTGTATATATTGTTTTATAAAAGCTTTGCCACCGATTAATGCGTGACACACATATATATAGACGGGCGCGCGGAAGGCGAAAGGAACAAAGGACTCGACGTGTATATATATCGTGTAGCGCGATACGTACGTTAACAGTGCGCTATATACGAAAGGTACGTACGTAGTTGATTTTATGTAGTCTCTTTTGACCATAAAAAAAAACCATTGTATCGACTGCACAGCTATATGCAGTCGCACGAATTCGTCGAGTTATTTGTCGTCGTCGTCGTTGCGCGCGTAAATCAGGCAAAACGACGCGACGAGACGAGCGCGCGCGCGCGAAAAAGCTGTTCCCTGGCGAACGCGCGTTCGAGATTCATTCATCGCAAAACGAATTCCGCTGGTGATTCCAATCGAAATCGAACACAGATTCACACAGACATATATCTCTTGCACTCACCGGTACGCTTGACTGGCGGCGATATCAATTTGCCGTGTCCGTAGAGCCTGGCGAGATCGATGGCCAGTGCCCCGAAGCCGCCGTCGCTCGTCGAGAAGACGAGCAGCAGAGCGACGAGCAGCAGGAAGCAGGAGCGGCCGCCGCCGCCAGCGCCGAGGAAGCGCCGAGGCCTCGATGATGGTCGATGATGGTAATCGAAGCCTTGGATGAGGCCCCCCATCGAGGATGACGACGATGCGAGGCGCCCCATCGCTCCGCGCACTACTTCGCAGCCACGCGTCACGAAGCGGCCGCGCGCGCACTTACCACCAGATCACTTAGACAGCAACAACAACAATAACTAGAAAAACAACAACAACAACAACGATAAAAACAAGAACAAACGACGAAGATGTGTGTGTGTGTGTGTGTTGTACAGGTACGCGCGCGCCTGCCTCCACTGGCGCACTGCACTGTACTGGCCGCGCTCTACTATACTCTATCTCTACCGTCCTCGACTCTGTGGGCTGTTGCTGCTGCTTTTACGGACGACGACGACGACGACGACGACGGCGATGCTCGCATGCGCCCCTTGAGCTCACCTGTGCACCTCTACCTGCTTCTCTATCCCTACCACCTGGTTCGCCTTCTTCGCTTCACCTCCTCCTCCTCCTCCTCGTTCACCTGCTCAACCTGCTCAACCTGAGTGTATGTGTGTGTGTGTGTGTGTGTGTCCCTCCCCCCTCCACCATCGATCGACTCCCTCTGTGAACGTTTGGATATATATACTCTTCGCTCTGTGGGTTAAACTCGTACGTGTATATACAGCGGCATACACGGCCGAGAGAGCACTCTCACTTATATACGGGCGCCCGCAAGCTCTCGTATATATACGTTCGCCTGTACTCACTCACACAAGTGAGCCACAGCAGCAGCAGCAGCTCGACGTACGCTGTATACGATGCTGCTGCTGCTGCTTCTGATGCTTTGTCGCGAAGCTTTATCGTGTATAGATATACCTATATGTGTATTGCTCGATGGAAATCATACATGAATGTAATGCAATTGATGCTTAAGTTTGTAATTGAATTTCCTATATATCGTTGACGTATGTTTCTACCATTGTCAGTACGCAGATATGTCTTTGTCGTGATATGAATCTTTTATTGTGTACGAATAATGATGCAATTTGCCGCAGAGCTTGAGATCAGCCAGTTTTATCGAGCTGCGAGCTCTTGAGTGGCAATGATGATCCATCGATCTGTTTAGGAAGAATGTAAAGGTGAAGAAAGTTTTTCTCCACCAAGTGGAGAAATTTAAAGTCGTTGTAAAGAAAAATTAATTGTAAAGGATCAAGAATAACCAATGTTTTAGTTTTTTTTTCAGTTTTTATATATGTTTTTATTATGATGGTGTAATACATTTACGTGCTCAGCACGACTTGAAGCCATGTTCAAAATTTTTGTAGGTAGTGTAGGCGCCCATGTTACCACTAGCCGTAATTGTTATTGTATGTTTGCTTTAGCCTTGCTGTGGCTAATTTTCGAATTTATTAACATTTGTCGATATTATTTTAAGATTATGGAAATATTATTGTAAGATTATGAAAAGTGTGATATATTGATTAAGCAACAATTGTTCTACTTTTAATTAATTAACTTTTATATTTTGAAATTACATAGGAATGTAAATTCACTCGAGAGCGTAAAGAATAACCAATTCTATACATCAACTCGATTTATACAATTATTTTAACTTTGTCACTTGCAGATTTACAGATACGAAGGTACTCGCCATCTAGCGGTCGAGGCCAGCTTTAATTGCGATTGAATTTTCATGACTATTTTGGGCTATTAACGATAAAAGATTAATCAGTTTAAACGAAAAGGATTTTCATTTTTGCATAAAAATCAATGTACGCAGTTGAAATTTTGTGATTTTTTTTTTCATAGCTCATGCAAGAAAATAATATTCGGCACCGAATTACTAATTATCTCGAATGAAATTTTCGGTATCGGCTGCATCCGTTTTAAAATCCAGTTCTACATTAAATCTGCATTCATTCGAAAGGGTTTTCCTCAACAACTTAACGGTGTTATAATCCCAAATCGTAAAAGTTCAATGGAGTTCGATTCACCGTGTATCAAACGCCAGCTACGAGTACATAAATAATCATTACAGTAACAAATTCGAACGGTCCAATGTATATTTCACGCACGCACACACACCCAGTAGCGAATTGCGAGAAACTAATACAATATATATACATGAAATCGAATCCCGAGCTCTCTACCCCTTTCTCTCTCTCTCTCTCTATCGAGATCTCCCCACAGGCCCGCTCGGAAAAGTCTGCAGTAATGCAGCAAGCGAGAGACAGACAGAAGGAGAGAGAGAGAAGAGTACATTACACCTTTCGGAGTTTGTCTCTCGTTCGCGGCGCGGCAGCTCACTTTGATTACAAAACGTGCCCGCGTCACGCGGGACTGAGTATATAGCATTACTGCGAAATAGAGAAATCGGGATCTCCCCGTAGTGCTAATGCAGCAACAGCAGCGCCAGAACACCCCCCAAAAAAAGTCATTGGTTCGTTTATACACGTTACATGTACACATAACACCAAGGCGTGTCTGCCCGTGTGTGCGCTTAAGAGCAACATTTACATGTAAACGCTCGTACGTATAGCACGAACGAAGAGGTAGCAGAGCAGCGCAGCTGTACGTATGCAGTATAAAGAGATAGCGGCGCGGCATCCGAGATGCGCTTACATGCTCCGGAATTCCCAAATCTCCAGAGGTCGTTCTCTATAAGCTGTCTCGGGCTAAGCGTCTTCTCCGCGCGCTGTACGTATTATACTCAATTTCAGCGCGCGCCAGATCCGCCTACTTATATGCAAAAGCTCTCCTCTCTCTCTCTCCCTCGTGTTCGCTCGGCGTTTGGCCGAGCGTATAGTTATACGGTTTAAGCTGCATATAAAGGACTCCGTGTATAGAGTTACGAGTCCGACACAGCTGAGCATCTGAGATCTTCTGCAGCAGCTTCTACGAGATTATTCATACCACTGCCTGTATACGACGTTAATCGATTCGATTCGCGACGGGGAGAGCCCTTGTACAGCAGGTGCCTCGATGAAAACCTCCATCACCTCGATTCTCCTGCTCTCTTGCGTTTACGCTCGTCGTGCCTGCGTTGTATCGTTGACGCTGTACATATTTTCCGCGAAACTCGATGGAACATCGTGATCGGCTCGTCGTAACCAATCGATCATCGTTCCATTTCGCCGCATATATAGCTGCTCGAGTGTCATCCACATAAATGTTTATCGATTCCGCACGTGTCTTAGGCGGCTCGCTCATCTCCCATCGACCCTCGAACGCTCGAGTCTTTTTCTTATCGTTAACGCCTCCTTCTTTTTCTCGTATTATCCCGTTCCTCGATTTACACGAAGCAGCAGACTTTATCGGATTGTTTTTTCGTTAGATCGTTTCGGAGCTAGGCGGGCTTGTACGAGAAATCTTGAACCGTATATAGCTTTATGCCGTTGATTGTTCGTGCGAGCAGCTGTTCGAGTAGTCGCTTGTTATAAGAAAAAAAAATCCTCGCTTCGAGGATGCGACGCGATTTTATACGTTCAATTTTGCCTTTTCCTTTTCTCTTTCTCGTTTCCGAATGATATGCATTATTTTCTTTTTTTCACTCTTTGAGGTGTACGAAGTTAACCCGAGGAGACAGAGTCTTTTGCAAGCTGTGAATGGACACGCAGTCTTGATAAGTACTATGTGGTCTAATGTCGTGGTGTATCTCTCTTTCTCGCTGCTGAATGCTTTGAAGCTTGTTCATGCGTGTGTGCGCGCGTACTTACTTGTTGAATGATTCTTACAGTCGAAGTCGTTGAATTTGGTAACGATAGTGTTGTTATTGCCGCTTATGCCATTGACACTAGTGTGTCGGATCTACGACTTCTTCCAATTCCGCAGTAGCCAGAAAAGTAGTATCGAGTGCAGCGAGTGATTTTCATGAATAGATTACAAATATATTTTGAATTACAAAGTGACGGCGTTCGCGTGTGAATTTGCAGAACAATGGCCGACAACGAGGCACGTCTAAGAGTCGAGAATCGAGAAAAAGTGGAGGAAATCTGGACGCTACGATAAAATGTCAATTGGGATATCAACGAGGAGCGATGTGAATTTCTTCGTCTTCTTCATCCCTTGATCAAACGTTGGAGAGGTAAGTTAATATATAGATGGTCATTATTGTAAGTAAGCCAATTTATTTGCAGTAGGTAAGTTTAGCACATCATCAACACAATAAATGTACTCAAGAACACTAAAGACAAATTTATCTCGTTACGTTACATGAAATATATATGTTTAATGGTGGTGAACTAGCGTACGATCAGGATACGGATTCGGTTATGAAATGAATCTTTTCCCAATTGGACACTCTTTTTTTGTAAACAGTCGAGATTTCATCATTTCCTTTCAAAGAAGACCAAAAAATATAATGAAAAGGTTAAAAATTTTGTCAACAATTAATACACTCGACTTGTAAAGAAGCACCAAAACGAATGTCCGTGGGAACGGAAAATGCATATCGCGATTGCTTCGATCGACTTATTTTGAATGATAAGCGTGTACCACGCGCCGAGGCCGTTATTATATTTCTAATCTCGTTACACGCGGCGGCGATTCAGCTTTACGAGATTCGCGTAAGAGCAGAACGCAATGTATACACGTTGCACGTGCGACTATACGCGTGTATATATTATGCGATGTATGTATATCAAGACGCGGCCGACTGCTCAAAGCACTTGACCTATTGCGATACGAAGAAAGGCTTTGTATAGTTAGTTAGTATACGGGTGGAGACCGTCGAGCTAGCTGCGCACTGCACGACGACTATTCCCAGGTGTAATTTTCCGAGCTCTTGAATAAATCCTGTATTTTACCTTCCCTCCCTCGCCCCTCGCCGTTACATATGTAGAAGAGAAGCGGCGGCGAACGATAAGCCGGACACGATGCGAATTAATCACTCTTGTTGCACGAGAGAGAGCTTGCCGCGCGAGCTTGGCGTGTATAGCAACACACACACACACACACTGGAGCGGACGCGCGCGTGCATGGCCCTCGTTGCCGCTCTGCGCCGTATTTTCTGCATGTACCCCTATACACGGCGATCATTGTTGTATATGGAAAACACGCGCACCCGCGCACAAGACAAGTTTTTGCATCGCGGATAAATAATGCAAACTCGCGAGCGTATAGTACATATTTTAATTGCTGCCCACGGCGCAATTTGTGTAAACCGAGAGTCGGCTCTTGCATTATACGACTGAAGCGAATTAATGACTCTCGAAAAATAATTTGACCAAATGCAGTGTACACGCGCTGCTGCTGCTGCTGCTGAAGGAGGCGCGCGATGAAGCGGAGCAAACATTTTTTTTTTTTTTTCAAATAGTGTCTGTGCATCGGCTTATAATCCACCCGAAGAGATTTTTATATAACCGAGGAGTGAGAAAATTTTTCTTTTTTCTTTCGAAGACGATGAGACAAAATCTCGGTCACGACGAGGGTCGAGTCACTCTCTCTCTATCTCTCGATCTCCGAGATAATACTCGAAAGCTCGCGCGCGTGTCTGAAACTCGAACAGAAAATGAGACGGAGACGAGAGGAGTTAAAGAAAGAGAGATAAAGAGGAGGAAAAAAAATATTAAGAAGTAACGCGCAGGGAGTCGAGTTTCTTAGCCTCGTTAACAGAGCTTTTTTTATAAACGCGGCTCGATATCTCCTTCCAGAAATCGACTTTTTTTACGAAATATCGAAGGTGTTCGCTACTGCTGCCACTATTTCTATCGCTGCTAAGAGCAGTATAGTTAGTTCGCCTCGTGAAATATATCGGAACTTCCCGTAAAAACTAAAAACATTCCCGTTTTTTTCAAATGTTTATCCAATGGAGATACTCGAAATGATTGATGAGATTATGACCAAAAATTGTTCTTTTAAAATTTTTTTTTAAATAAATCGCTATAAATTGGCTTGTTTTTAAAAATGTTTTTTCAAAATTGTCAACCGATTGTAAAAATAGAAAACGAAGTGCAGACCAATGATATAACAGAAAATATATTCATTGATTTTGAGTGTAAAAGTGTTAAACTTGAACACACATCTCAACCGACCACAATTTGCAAATCCGAGTATGAAAGTTGTCAACCTAACATTAAAAACGAAAACCAAAATCCGATAAATTATGTGATTAACAAAAAGCTAGTAATTTTAATTAAAAAAGGATTTAATTATGATGATAATTGTCGATTTAATATTATGAGCTCTCGTTTAAAACGGTCCCAATATCTGAAGATGAGAAATTTTGATAAAACTGCTGAAAAAAGAGCATCAAATAAGTCAAAAGTGGGTCAAAAAACTAAATCAAGTGTAAAAAAACATGTCAATACAAAACTTAAAAGTATTAGGCCGTATAAAAACAAACCCTGTGAGTGCGAGATTTGTCATAAATCATTTGGACAAAAAGCAAACCTGGAAAAGCACATAACTAGTGTACATGATCGAATCAAACCCTTTGAATGTGACATTTGTCATAAATCTGTGACCTATTATTCTTCATCTGGATTCACGGCCCCGGTCGGCCACGCATGTCCCTGTGTCGTCGGTCCGTCCGTCGCGAATCCGTCGGCTCGAGATACCTGTATATCAAATAATAAGGGACTCGGGCTCATTCATGCAAATAACCGTTGACACATCTATTCAATTAATATAAGGCGATTTATTTATCGCTAGTACTACAATATATATATCGGCCCGAGGACACCGGGTCGTTGGCACGCTCGCGCGGCGACACGCCGAGCGCGAGGCTCAGAGGAGAACACGTATACACCGGAGCTCGTGGCCCGACTCACCACTCGAAGTGCTCGGTGGAGACGTTGTTGGTTGTCCTGCTGGATGTTCCTCTCCTCCTGCAACACAATCAAACGTCGTGAGCCCGGGTGCCTCGTCGTCTCCTCGACGTGTGACGATGATCGGCTTTCACTCTCGTCCGGCCGTCGAGACACACACACACTCTCCGCGCACTCGAGCTCTCGTCGAGTTAGCCACACTCCTCACTCAGAGAGCTTAGGGTGATTACACCCGTGGTACTCGACGAAGAGTCGACCTAGACATCCAGAGAGACACCCTGGACGCCGCACACACACACTCACTTACTCGGATCAATTTCGCACACACACGATCGCGATCAATCGATCTCGCCAGTTCGTTGGCAACTGACTTGTCGTTACTTATACGTCGTGTTGACAAGCTGCCAAACGTCCTTTCTCTTCTCATCGTTGCTCACATGAAAATATAAATACCGCGATCAAATGATTTACTATATTCAAATTATATTATTATTGGCCGACGACAACGACTACGCAGAGGCTCGCCGGGCAACCGAGCATCTGATGCACTTCCTGCATCACAAATCATTTGGACAAAAAATTAGCCTCAAATCTCACGTAAATACGATACATGATCGGATCAAACCCTTTGAGTGTGACATTTGTAGCAAATTATTTGGACAAAGAGGTCATCTCATTGCTCACATAAATGCAGTACATCTTCGTCGTAAACTCTTCGAGTGTAACATTTGTAGCAAATCATTTGGATACAAGAGTCACCTCAATATTCATATAAATACAGTACATAATAGGAGCAAACTCTTCGAGTGTGATACTTGTCACAAATCATTTGGAGAGAAAAAAACCCTCAAAGCTCACATCAATGCACTGCATGATTGTAAAAAACCTTTCGAATGTAAAATTTGTCATAAAACATATAACCGAAAGGATACCATCAAATCTCATGTAGAAGCAATACACAATCTTAACAGACCCTTTAAATATCAGATTTGTCACAAATCATTTGGATACCGGAATAAACTTGAAAGGTACAAGAGCTCATAAAATCCATATAATAGTAATACATTATCGCAAAAAATCATTTGAATGTAAGATTTTTCATAAATAATTTAGACCAAAGGATAATCTTAATAGACACATAAATGTAAGTCACAAAAAAATCATAAAACATTTGGATACAAACATAACATTCAAGTGCAGTGCATACTCGTAACGATCACTTCGAGTGCGAAATTTGTAACAATTCATTCGTCTACAAGAATCTACTAAAGAGGTAAAATAATATACACGATCCTGAACTTATCCTTGGAATATAACATTTGTCAAAAAATATTTAGACACAATAGTGACTTAAAAGTTCGGGTAAGTGTATTTTATATTCGTAGCAAACACTCTTTGAATATAATTAGTACACGATCGAAGATGATTTGACCTCAAAATCTCAATGATCGTAGCAAAACTCTTGAAATTTCACATAAATACATTCCGTGATATTAGCGAGTATTTTGTCAAAAGAGATTTGTCTATCATAAGTGAACGCAAAAAACTTACATTCGCATGACTCATGTAACATCTTAATGGTATTCAAAACTTTTGCAATCACTAATGCAAAAGTAATCAATCTGATCGAGGAAATCCTTTTCACATCCGTTTTCAACAATTTTTATTGTAACTCCATTTTTCATGCAGTAAATAAGTATGAAATAAATTTGCATATCATTATGCAACAGAAAAAAAGAATTTTTTTTTATCCATTAAAGTCAGAAGTACGAAATGAACATTAATATAAATGAATATTAATATAATTATCTCGTCTTCTATTTATAATATCTATGAAATTCAATTGATATTTTTCAAGTATATTGTTTCTGACCCTTTCGATACCGGTACAATTATAATAGATAATTAATTATTTGTCAAAAGTACAATGTTGAAAAAGTTTTGATTAAAATTAATTTAAATATGGAGGATTTTTCAAATAACAATCAGTTTAAGTGGATTGTTCAATTCTATTTGTAAACTTTGTTGAATAAAATTATCGGTTATTGTACTTCGAAATGAATCTAATTACAATGATTTTGTTGGTATTGATTTTCTAATGACTGCATCAAGGCTTTAAAATTACTTGGATTTCACTATCACATTAACCCTAAGGAATAGTTTTGGCTGTTTAAAAGCCGAGTATAAGTGTTTACAAAACCAAAAAACAGAAGAAAAACATTACGTTAAATCGTTAAAACTGTGCTTCTACTTGTAAATTTTTTTTGCATTGACACTTGTAGATTTTCTGATAAAGGTACTCGCCATCTAGTGGTCGATGCTGACTTTAACGGTACTTATAGTTTCATACTTTTTTTTCATCAAAATGTTTAAATTTACAATTAATTTTGATCAATTTTTACAATAAAAATACGCGATTAAAAAATCGAATGGCTTTTTTGGAACCACACTTCTCTAACAACTTATGGCATCCCACTTTTATAAATTTCTTATTCAAATTTTTCCAAAAACTTGTAATGACTAGATCTAAAACAGCGGAGGGTAATTCTTACATTAGAAAACTTAAGTGCTGCTGTTGTTTTAAAAAGGGGATTTTCTTCGTAGGCATCATCATTATAAGTAAGGGTTTATTCATCTGCTTTCTCATTTTAGTTGAAATCTTCATATTATAATGGCCAAAATAAGAAATACAAACATATTTATTTTTAAATTGAATTATTTAGTCATCTTTATGTATTTAATAAGTAATTTTAATTAAATTTTAATTTACTAAGGAGAGAGGTGGAGAAATCAAAACTAAATTTTTTTTTTCTTTTGAAAATTTTATTGGTATTGAAAATTTACAAAATTACATGAGAATTTGATAAAACTCAGTAAAAGTAATTTCTTACAATTTTACAGTTATTTACAATTTTTCTGATACTATTTATAATTGTTCGTTATCTGCATAGTTATGATAAGACTCATTACGAGCTTTCGCCGATGCAAGTACGGATGCCAAGCAAATATTATATAAATCCTCGTTCTTTAGGTTTTCAATGATCATTTCACAGCAGATAGGCGGTAGCTGGTAGCGTTGCAATTCGTAGATCGCATCGAGTGCCCAAGGCCAGAAAAATCCTCTCGAAATCATTTCGCAAAGATGGACTGCACAAGCCTCTTGGTAACTCTCGGGAAGATCCGACGATTTGATCCAGTGCGCTAACGCGCCATAGTTCTCATACTTCAGTTGTTTTGCCGCCTCTTCCGGCCTCAATCGGATAAGGTCGTGAAGCGACAAATTAGGATTCACCATTATCTCTTTCGATTTGCCGAGAAATTCTTGGACGTCGTACAAATTTTCTTCAAGATCCGTCGACTTGTCAAACAGATCGTACTCGGCGAACAAACTCATGATATCCAGGGTGNTAACATCTTCACCAAGTCAACATCGTCGTCTTCTCTCTGACATATAAAATGCAGAGGAGTGAATCCGTTCTCGTCTATTAAGTTGGGACGGGCGCCTCTTCTCATAAGGATTTCTATCATATTTATGTTGCCTTTCGTTGCTGCTACGTGCAATGGTGTCTTACTCATTTTGTCCTGAGCATCGACCTGCATCGACTCGTGTTTTTCATCGCAGATCTTGAATAGCCTTTCTATCGAGAGATCGTCCAAGTTTGCCTCACAAATTCGGTGCAAGACAGTCTCTCCATCCTCGTTGAGCGAGTTCGGATCTGCACCCTTTCTCAGCAAAAATTCAATTAAATTTACGTGGTCTTTGTGTATCGCCAGGTGCAGCGCTGTATTGCCATACTCGTCTCTAGCGTCGATCCGGACTGAATTGTTGAATTTTTCACCCATCTCGAAAAATCTCCGCGCCAAGTCGACATCGTCATCTCCTCTCAGACATAAAACGTGCAGAGGAGTGAAACCCTTCCCGTCCGGCAAGTTGGAAAGGGCGCCTCTACTCAGCAAAATTTCTACCAAGTTGATATTGCCATTGAATACCGCCACGTGCAACGCAGTTCGACCCTCGTTGTCTCGAGCGTCTACCTCGACCGTCTGATTATTTTCGTCGCAGATCGCAAATAACATGTTTGCCATGTCAACGTCGTCGTCGTCGTCGTCGTCGTCGTCGTTGTCGTTACTACAAATAACGTGCAGACAAGTATCTCCTTGATAGTTGATAATATTTGGATCGGCGCCCCGTCTTAGCAATATTTCGGCTGCTTTTCTACTGCCGGCCATCGTAGCGAGATTCAAGTGCAACGTTGCTTCTTCATTATCCCGAACACCGACCTTGACCGTCCGATGTTTTGCCGCGCAGACCGCTTTTTTGTGAACAATCATCTGAGCAAAGTACAAGTGCAAAGGTGTGTTGTTCCACTCGTTTTGGACGTTTATCTGGATCGTTCGATTACGCTCATCGTTGATTTTGAAAAATATCTCCGCCAAGTCGATGGCCCCAATCAAGTGCACAGGACTGAATCCTGATGCATTGGCCAGATTTGGGTCGACATCCCTTTTCAGCAATAGTTCAACTGCTTTTCTGTTGCCACTCTGCAGAGCCAAGAGCAATGGTGTGTTTCCCTGGAAATTCTGAGCGTTGACCTCGATCGTGTTACCGACTTGGTCGTTAATGGCGAAAAATGTTTTCACGAACTCGCCGTCGCCGTCGTTGTCAAATGACTCGCTAATGATGTGCAATGCTGCATCTCCATTGTGATTCGACAAATTTGGATTCGCGCCGCGTTTAAGCAGCAATTCGGCTACTTTCTGATGATTGTTGATGAGACACAGGTTGAGCGGTGTCTCGGAATATCTCGCGTTTCTTGTCTCTTGAGAGAAGCAATTAGGGTCTTGTCCGAGATCAAGAAATCTTTCGACGATTCTGTACAGGCCATATTGACAGGCGATATGGAAATGCGTGTATCCATCCTCGTCGATGTAATTGACGTCGAATCTGTTGTATATTTTGAATAAACTATAAACGGCGACGCTTCCGTGACGAGCCGCTTGATGTAGTGGTGTAGTTCGATGCAACAGTAGCCTACCCGCTTGGTCCAGATCGGGCTCGTCCGTGAAGCCGCTGCGAGCCACGAAATCAATAAAACGTTGCCCTGCTGTCTCCTCGACTTCGTCTTCGCCTGCGTCNCCAAGAAATTAAAAAAAAGCGTGTCGATACGATAAATCTAGCCCAAGGTAGAAGCATGCGAAAATCGACAAAATTTCGATGAATTTTTTTGTTGCGATAATTTTGTTGCCGAGTGTATATAACATACCGAAAAAAGTTTATTTTCAATGAAATACGAGCGATTGAAAGAAAAATTCACTTCGCAAAAAACGTTCTTACCGAAAAGTGGTCAGACCAAAATGAGTTTCAGACCATTTGCTGTGTTCACGTCATACGCTTATACGTTGTTACACCGTCGATGTATATGATGTACTCCTCGATGATCGAGATACAATAATAATAATACATTTTCGTAAATTCATACATCGATACATACATACATACACATACACATGAGGTTTTTCTTCTCGTAGAGTATTACCTCGATTATCCGATATACCCGGGTAGCCCACTGGAAGCTCTTGGTATGAATACCAACCCTGCGACGATGTTCTCCGAGGTAGTCGAGCTGTTTTCGCTACTTCATCACCCCAGGTGGTCGCCTCGGTGCCGCAAGTATGAATATCAACCCGGCGACGACTTTCCCCGAGGAAGTCGAACGGTTTTCGTTNACACGTGAGGTTTTTCTTCTCGTAGAGTATTACCTCGATTATCCGATATACCCCGGTAGCCCACTAGAAGCTCTTGGTATGAATACCGACCCGGCGACGATGTTCTCCGAGGTAGTCGAGCTGTTTTCGCTATTTCGTTCACCAGGGTAGCCAACTCGATGCACCAAGTATGAATATCGACCCGGCGACGACTTTCTCCGAGGAAGTCGAACCGTTTTCGCTATTTCGTTCACCAGGGTAGCCAACTCGATGCACCAAGTATGAATATTGTCCCGGCGATGACTTTCCGCGAGGAAGTCGAAGTGTTTTCGCTACTTTATCACTCGGGTGACCTACACGGTGAACCAAGTATAAACATCGACCCGGCGACGACTTTCTCCGAGGAAGTCGAACGGTTTTCGTTACTTCGCCCACCCGGGTGACCTACTCGGTGCACCAGGTATTAATATCGACCCGGCGATGACTTTCCGCGAGGAAGTCGAAGTGTTTTCGCTACTTCATCACCCGAGGTGGCCAACCCGATGCACCAAGTATAAACATCGACCCGGCGACGACTTTCTCCGAGGAAGTCGAACGGTTTTCGTTACTTCACCCACCCGGGTGACCTACTCGGTGCACCAGGTATTAATAGCGACCCGGCGATGACTTTCCCCGAGGAAGTCGAACTGTTTTCGCTACTTTATCACTCGGGTGACCTACTCGGTGAACCAAGTATAAACATCGACCCGGCGACGACTTTCTCCGAGGAAGTCGAACGGTTTTCGTTACTTCGCCCACCTGGGTGACCTACTCGGTGCACCAGGTATTAATATCGACCCGGCGATGACTTTCTCCGAGGAAGTCGAACGGTTTTCGTTGCTTCGTCCACCCGGGTGACCTACTCGGTGCACCAGGTATTAATATCGACCCGGCGATGACTTTCCCCGAGGAAGTCGAACTGTTTTCGCTACTTTATCACTCGGGTGACCTACTCGGTGAACCAAGTATAAACATCGACCCGGCGACGATTTTCTCCGAGGAAGTCGAACGGTTTTCGTTACTTCGCCCACCCGGGTGACCTACTCGGTGCACCAGTTATTAATATCGACCCGACGATGACTTTCCGCGAGGAAGTCGAAGTGTTTTCGCTACTTCATCACCCAAGGTGGCCAACTCGATGCACTAAGTATAAACATCGACCCGGCGACGACTTTCTCCGAGGAAGTCGAACGGTTTTCGTTACTTCGCCCACCCGGGTGACCTACTCGGGGCACCAGGTATGATTATAGACCTGGCGACGACTTTCTCCGAGGAAGTCGAACATTTTTCGTTACTTCGTCCACCCGATTGGCCGCCTCGGTGCCTCAAGTATGAATATCGACCCGGCGACGACTTACTCCGAGGTAGTCGAACCGTTTCCGCTATTTTGTTCACCAGGGTGGTCTACTCGGTGAACCAAGTATGAATATCGACCCGATGACAACTTTCTCCGAGGAAGACGAAGTTTTTAATATATATATTTAAAATTCAGAAAAATAAGATCTTTACTTTGAAACAGTAAAATCTAATTTTTTACTGTGACGACAAGAAATTGTACCTTTTGTTGAAAAATGAAAACTATTCTTGCTATTGTTCTAAAATTTTACAAGCTATTATGAAATAGTTAATTGGAATACATACTCAAATTTTATGACAATAGTTTGCAAATTCTGGT